CTCTCCCCTGCCCCCACTCCGGGGTCTCACCACTCTCCCCTGCCCCCCACTCCGGGGTCTCACCACTCTCCCCTGCCCCCTACTCCGGGGTCACCTCCCCACCTGCCCCCGGGTTGCCCTGACTGTGGCATTATTGCCACTCTGCCCTCGAAGCTGAATCACCTCTATCCCACACTCAGTCAGTAAATGGGCAGTGGTACAGGGCATGGGGGTCATTAGTACATGGTCCCTGGTCTGGGGTCTGGTCACTCGGTAAACAGTCAGTGTGTATGAGCTGTGTTAATGAGTCCCGATGTACTGTTTGTTTCTCGGTAGGTTCAACTCCAACCCGCACTGGAGGATTCCTGGGCACCACCAGCCCAGGCCCCATGGCTGACCTGTACGGTGCGGCTAACCAGGACTCTGGGGTCAGCAGTTACATCAGTGCAGCCAGCCCTGCCCCGAGCACTGGATTCGGCCACAGTCTAGGGGTAAGTGTCACCCTGATGTCACTGTGTGGTAAATCATCTCACACACCACCAGAGGTCAGCAGTGAGTCAGAAAGCTGCCAGTAAGATATGGCTAAGATCCCAGTCATTCTCAATTTCAGATGCATTTCAGGTACTGGCTTATGCTTGTGATGCATTTAATTTAACTCTGAGGCCTCTTTCAGTTGGACTGCTCTTTGATCACCGCTTGGTTCATTGCTCCAGAGGCATCCAGGCTTCATCCTACAGCAACTATTCGATCTTTATGTTCCTGATCTTACACCCCTGGGAGCGGGAATACCCTTTGGGATGGGACTGTAAGTGCCCTCAGATAGGAGCAGGAATGCTCCAGGATGGGAATGGAAACTGCCCAGAATGGGAATGGGATTGGGAATGCTCCAGGATAGGAATGGAAACTCCCCAGAACAGGAACAGGATTGGGAATGCTCCAGGATGGGAATGGAAACTCCCCAAGCAGGAATAGAATTGGGAATGCTTGTGGACAGGTGTGATGTTCCAACCTTCAGAGAATAAGTGTGGAGGGGTTTTGCTATAAAATAACACCTCTTGCCCCATTTGGTGAATCTCAGGCAGGGCTCCTACCATGGTTCCCCGTCCTTGTGGGCAGACCTGGCACTAATTTAATTGAGGAAATAGGGTGGGGTGTCTCAGAATGGTATGCGGAAGCCTCATTACTCCCCGGGATACTGTGAGGTGAGTGGAGGTAAAACTTCACCATCCCTGGAAAACCGTTCTTTCATGTGCTGGGGTGGTTTCATGGATCCCTATTCCTGGAACAACGCCGCCAGATGACAGTTCTGGATTAGTGAATTGGCAGTTCTTTCAAACCCTGTCTCAAACCTGCGATTCCCAGGCTAGCAAAACAAGCTTCTTATAACCATGTGCTTTAGAGAAGGAAAGCCCCAACATCCCTCCCTGGTCTGTCTTGTCTGTGACATCAATCCCTGCACCAACATGGCTGTCTCTGAACTGCCTTTTGATGTATTAAAACTGCTACCAGTGGTTCAAGGAGAAAAGCCTATTACCTACAAATAGGCAATACATGCAGCTCCTACCAGTGTGGGACATGTCCTGAGAATTAAATAAATAAAAGCATCCCATTATGGCTGCTGTAGCATGTACGTAGCCCCTGCTGATTGCAGGGTGTCTGATGGTAGGATGTCTTGGGATTTGCTAACATTTAATAGCATAATTTAATGATCTCAATCCAGGCCACTACACAGCCAAAGAAGTGGAGTCTGTTGGAATGTCAGAAATACGAGCTAAAGCTGCTCCCATTGGGCCCTCCCCTGTCCAATTAGATTCTCTTACAAAGTCAGAAGTCACATGACACCAGGTTATAATCCAACAGGTTTATTTGAAATCACAAGCTTTCGCAGCGCTGTTCCTTTGTCACCTGATGAAGGGGCAGCGCTAAGAACGCTTGTGATTTCCAAGAAACCTGTTGGACTATAATCTGGTGTGGTGTGACTTCTAATGTAGTCCACCCTAATCCAACACCGGTACCTCCACATCACAGCTTCTCTTACACCCTGAGGTCCCTCGAGCCCTCCACAATTAGAAGCTGCCAGCAATACGTTTATTTCAAAAACTGCTTGTGCGCTATGACCCAGGGTGATTCAATGACCTGATGATACGTTAACTGACTGTCAGGACAGCCCTGGTTTTACTGACCTCTGTCTAAGTCTACCTCCCCCACCTCTCTCTGTTTGTTCCAGGGGCCTTTGATTGCGACAGCTTTCACAAATGGTTACCACTAAAGAAGAGGCTCGAAAATCTGAAAAAGGAAGTAAGTTTTTAAATGCTGTTGCTCTAAAACAATTGCTTGGTTATCTTGTATGAGTTATTATTGTTCAATAGCCTTGACTCCTTGTAATATCCTGAATTGTGATTGGAGGACCAGGCTTTGATCCCCAGTCTGTCCAGGGTTAGTTGATCTTGGGAATTGAATTGGGACCAACTCTCACAACCATCCAGGAGGTGGGAGAGCAGTGCAGCCTTCAATCTGCACCGTCCCTTTTTGCTCAAGTTGTACACGAAGTAATTCAAGTGAGATACCAATGAACTCACCCCAGTTCCTGATTCACCAGTAATTATTGCTGGTTTCAACCTATGACTAGACTGTGCAAATCAGATTGGAAATGTAGCTGAGAAAATTAGTTCAAAATGTTTTTATTCATCAATGGGATGTGGGTGTCACTGGCTAGGCCTATCCTTAATTGTGCTGGAAAGGACGGTGATGAGCTACTTTCTTTAATCACTGCAGTTGTTAAGATGTAGGGACACCTACCGTGCTGTTAGGAAGGAAGTCCAGGATTTTGCCCCAGTGACATTGCTTCTGCTGGTACCGGGGCACTGCACTTGTTCCAGCCTGTCAATCTGCCAATGATCCCTATTCCCTGCTTCATAGAAACATAGAGTGTAGGTGCAGGAGCTGGCTGTTTGGCCCTTCGAATTAACTCTGCCATTCAACATAATTGTGGCTGATCATCTCACTCAGTGCCCCGTTCCTCCTTTTTGCCCATATCATTTGATCCCTTTATTTCTAAGATCTGCATCTACAACTTTCTTGAAAGTCTTCAATGTTTTTGGCTTCAACAGTTTCTTGTAGCAGTGAATTCCACAGGCTGACTACTGTCTGGGTGAAGAAATGTTTGCTAAACGCTTCCTTTAGCTGAGCTAGTATGTTGCCCCCTTACCTTGTGGCACCTTGTCAAATGCCTTGTGTAAATCCAAGTACGCCTCATCTACAGGTTCCCCTTTATCCACCTTTCATGGTACATCTTCAAAGAACTCTAATAAAATACTTAAACACAGTGTCCCTTTCTTAAAGCCATTTTGACTCTGCCCTGATCACATTAAAATTTTCAAAGTATCCTATTATAATGACTTTAATAATTGATTTTAGCAATTTTCCTCAGACTGATATTGACTAAATGGCCTGTTGTAGTTTCTTGCTTTTTGTTCCCTTCCTATCTTGAATAAAGGTGTTATATTGGCTATTTTCTAATCAGCTGGAACCCTTTCAGAATCTAAAGAACTTTAGAAGTTTAAAACTATCTCTGCTGCCACTTCTTTTAAGACCCTAGGCTTTGGGAAGTTTTCCAAGTCAGTTACAGTGGAGAGAGTTACAAATAAATACCTGTTAATTCATACCTCCATTATTTCCTGGTTTTCCACATTCAAATGCACTATTGGAGCACCAGCACTTGCTTTAGTTACTCTTTCTCTGTTTACACGCCTGTAGAAACACTTACTTCTGCTTTTATATTACTGGCTAGCTTGTTCTGATACTTTACTTTCTAGCAAGAATGTGTGAATTGTGACAGTGCATGTTGTACATTATGCTGGGTTGATGTGGCTACCAAGTGAATGCACACTGTGAGATGTGGTTATGGGATTGGCACAGTGAGGATAAAGTAAGCATTACAGTGTTAGATATGAGTCCTGTTTAATATTGCTAGGTTAACGTGTGAGGGTAGTGATTAAGCAGCAGTTGAAGCTAATGGTGCAGCTCATAGCATGTTTGAAGGTGTGTTCACCGACCTTGTGTGAGGTACTGCAACTTCTCACTGCATCCAGGTCTTTAGGACAGTTGTCCTGTCAGCAATCTCACCACTTCTAACCCCTCTAGATTCAGGGTTGCTCCTTCCACCAAAACCTCCAATGCAGTGTTAGAAAACCAGCAAGCCATCTCTCTTTCATGTTAAGCCATTTGTTTGTGCATTGAACTACTTGGAATGATGTCAACATCTCCAGGAGTCTGAATGCACCTTCCACTTAACTGCTGCAGGCCTGGTTTTAGCAGCAGTGGCTGGGTTTCAGAGGCACAGTTTGCAGTTTGGGTCCCTCTGGTCGACGGTGTGGTTAATGCAGGCAGCCACACTCTGTGTGTTACATCAAACAGATGAGTTAACTGTACATGAGATAACAAGGTGTAGAGCTGGATGAACACAGCAGGCCAAGCAGCATCAGAGGAGCAGGAAGGCTGACATTTTGGGCCTAGACCCTTCTTTAGAAATGGGGGAGGGCAAGGGGATTCTGAAATAAATAGGGAGAGAGGGGGAGGCGGATAGAAGATGGATAAAAGAGAAGATAGGTGGAGAGGAGACAGACAGGTCAAAGAGGCGGGGATGGAGCCAGTAAAGGTGAGTGTAGGTGGGGAGTTAGGGAGGAGATAGGTCAGTCCAGGGAGGACAGACAGGTCAAGGGGGCGGGATGAGGTTAGTAGGTAGGAGATGGGGGTGGGGCTTGAGGTGGGAGGAGGGAATAGGTAGGAGGAAGGACAGGTTAGGGAGGCGGGGACAAGCTGGGCTGGTTTTGGGATGCGGTAGGGGGAGGGGAGATTTTGAAGCTTGTGAAGTCCAGTTAACTGTACATCTCTGTTTTCAAGATCTTTCCAATTCAGCTCCCTGGAAGTCAGATGCTTAGGTACTCATTATGTATACGCGTATATACAAATCATTACCATTGCCAAGGACAAAAGATATTACAATCTCAGTTAGCTCATACCTGGAGTTGCTATGAGCAGTTCTAGGTGTCACACCTTTGGAAAGACATATTGGCCTTGGTGGGGAGCATATTTTGGGACATGCCTAACATCTGATCCACCCTCTTGATTGTGACATGTCCTATAGCCCTGAGTCGCATTGAGATCCTTTTTCCTGATTCTTTACAAAGTGATTCAATGTTTTCAAGGCTCAACAATATCACTGAAAGGGCCAACATACTCTGTCTCTGGAGTGGTTAGAGTTGCTGCTGTGTAGCACATGAGGGTCTCTCGGACCTTGTTCCCCGAAGGTGAATATATTCCCAAGTCATTTCTGTATTCCCAGGGCAAACAAAGGATAGGAAAATTGCAGTTTATTTCCTCTGAAAGCAAATTGACATATTTTGTCGTGTTTGGGTCAAGGTTTTCATTCCAGTAATAGCAACTGTTGTATTCTTTTTTTTCCTGCAGGGCCCCAGCCCGTCAGCAAGAGGAGGGGGAAAACATGGGTTTTGGTGGAGCTCAGGCGACTTTTTAATAATTTTACTGCACACACTGACTTACTACCATAAACTCAACTCCGACCACCCCACCCCATCAACTGAAGAAAACATCTCACTCCTTCACTAACATATAAAAGTTTACGCTTTTGTTTTTCCTGATTTTTGTTTTGTTTAATTTATTTTATTTTATTTTTTTTAGCTTAATGATCGACCAGTTTTAAGCAGTGTCTGTTTTGTTGTTGCTTATTTGAAAGTGTTTAGATGCGTTATTTTAAAATGGGAGTTCTGTGATTGTATTAGAATATTTTGCTAAGGACATTTTTCTTCATTTTTTGACCATTTTTTTTTGCCAGATATTGTTTTTAATGACTAAGAGCTAAAGAGGATAATGTAAAACACTCCTGAAGAAAATGGAATCTTGTCTAAATACAATTTATTTTGATATTCTTTGTAAATGTCATCTATTAACACTGAATTCCAGTTATCATGGAACAAAAAAAACAACATCTGCAGGACAAAAATGTATATTTTGGTAAAAAAAACACTATGAATCATAAAAGTATTTTTTTCTGAAATTGGATAAAACGTTTCTGTAAAATATGTAAATAGAACAAGCTGGATTTGTATTTGCCTTCTGCACAAAAGGTTCTTTTTTGAGTACGGTAGTATTTTTTGAGAAAAGCTGAGACCTAAGGCCCCTACACAGCCTGAGACTTAGCAATACTGTAGATGACCTTTGACTTCCCAGGAGATTCTGTAGTTGATGTCGTAAGGGGCTAATTTACTGTAGAATTGCTTTTTTTCTTTGACTTCTCATTTAAATGAAGGACATTGGTAGGAAATGAATGGTACCTCAAGAGGTCATAAAGCTGCTAAACAAAATAAAAGTAATAAAATCCACACACTACATATCTATAAAGGTTGTGTAGGCCAGGTCAGGTCTCCATTTTTGACCCTAGTTTGAGATAAGAATGGTTGTTGCTCTAGCTACCACTGTTTTACCTCAGCTGGTCACTTCCACAAAGCTGTCAACTCTCCCAGTTTTTATCTGTAGTACTTGTACGTGCTTAGTCTGTTTTTGTTTTTTGTTTTTTAAACTCTTGTAAAACAGCCTGTACTTCCATTTAGTAGCAACAGGCGAAGTAAGTCACCGTGCGTAATGTAACGTGGGAAACAATGCCTTCTCAGCTGTAGATATGAGAAGAAGGGAGTTTCCTGAGCAAGGGCAGTAGAGCCAAATCAAGTCATACCACTGTTTACTGTGAAGGGCAAACTTGCACGTTGGGGTTGTTGGGAGGGGAAGTGGTGGTAGGACTTGTGATCATTCTTTTTGAAGGGGGGGTGCGTATACACTGCATTTTAAGTTTTTCTTTTAATCTCCCAGTTCCCCCACCCATGTCCCGAGCCTCCTTCATGTAGTTGTTTTCTGCTGGGGTATCAGCGAGTGAGAGGGGTTCAGGAGCAGAGGAAGCCAAAGCTGTTTCCTGAGCACCCACTGGTGGTCAGCATTAAATAATGTCAGCAGAAGGTTGCAGGGGGACCCCTCGCTGTCTGTTCATTGAATGGAGCACAGTCCTTCAGAACCTGCTGGAGAAGGAGACCCCCC